ATATCAATTTAGAAGAGTTTTAGTTACAAATTGGACTAATGTTTTCCACTGCATATTTCTTTATATGCTTGACAGTTTTGTGAGAAAATCTGCTAGTTTTTATAAAGTTTTAGCATTATTATTCCTTTCAATATCTTTTCTTATTTTTATTTCTCTTTTGTCTGTCTGCATTTTAGTGGCATAGGTATCCAAAAAGCATATGACTAGTACAGAGTTCTTTCAACTAGCGAAGAGAACTGGGGTTCACTCTGCAGCAACAAAAGCACACAAGTACAGTCGTTCAAATTAAATTGTAAGAGAAAATAGTTTGTTTGTGTGTTGTACTAATGGTGAGCACAAAGAGAAGACAACGGGATAAAGAGCATTCAATTTACACTCAGATTCAAATAAATCGACTGTACTCAATGTACATCGCTGGCCCACAACATCGACATCTATATACCTTCAACATTCTTGTGGGTTATCCCCAAGATAAATTGGATATCTCCCTTTTGTATCATGTCTCCAACAACTTAGCAGTTCAATGCAGTTAGGCGTGTCTTCATAGTTCTACAAGGTGACATGACAAGATCAATAATTTTTCTGTTTCCAGGAGATTACATGCCACAAAAAAGTGAACATAGTGTGAAGCTGGCAAGAGGCATTATACTACCTACAATAAACGAACTTTTGCCTGTGGGGGATATCCACCAACCCTGGTTTTAGATTTTCAGTGATAGATTGTCTTATACATGTAATTTTGACCAATAGCATGGACCATTCATGGTTCTCAATCTTGCCACTTACAAACAAACTAATACAATCTGCAAAATGCTTCTGGTTTATTTATTATAATGTAGGACCCAGGAGCATCTAATGTAGAATAGGATCGTTGGCTTAGTACAAGAAGATTCAGTGGCCCATGCTCATAATTTCGACAGTGAGAACTGGAATTTTCAGCGCCTCCTAGCAGCAGTTTCTCTCTGAGCGTTGAAGTAGACAGCAGCTACAGGGAGGCCAAGATCATTTTCCTCAGCGAACTGTCGTGTGATGAAATGGTCCCTGGAGGATGGCACAGCTACAGTTTGTCTGCGCTTCTGCTTGAAGAGAACAAAAATGAACCTGTGGATACCAATGCTAGGTCTTGGGCTCTCGTAGCTTATGACTTCTCGCCCTGAAAAATGCATGCTTATGAACTCGAAGAACAACTAGAACAAGGAATAGACTAAACAAAGCAGAGGAAATACCTACCGAATGAGGCATCTGTTGTCCCAGGTATATCAGTCACAATCCTGCAAATATAAAGGACGATAACACTTAGCCATAGCATTCTCATTCTAAGCACTCAGAAAATATGCTGTTTGTATTTGTATATATGCAAGATGTGGTGCTACTCCTCTGTAACATACTGACATCCCCAAGGTAAGAAATGCTAAATATTACCAGTGAAGGTGCTCCCTTAGATATGGATCACTTGGTCCTGGGACGTCGGGGTCTGTCATAACCTGAAATTTTAGGAATTATGGCGATTAGGGAAGGGATAGTATGTATAGAATACTTGGAGACAAGGATCAAGTATTTGACTACTAACCAATGTGAAGAAAGACCGCAAGTCGCCCCCTTGAACCTCTACTCTTGGTTTAGATACAACTGCTGATGGGTAAATCTCACGGCCATTGAAGACAAGCTTGTTTGAGTTGTAGGTCACAACCATATTCACACATGGGCTAAAGAAGTCGAGAACTTCTCCAATCACCCGACCGACTACAAGAGACTCCACAGATCTAGACATGGTTGGAGGGTCAAGTATTTTATTTTGCACACTAATGCTCTTATTGAATGCAGCAAGCTAATGCACTTAACGATGTGCCATGAGCTGCTTATTGGGCATTGGTGGGAGGACAGGCCTCTATTTATAGTGGTTTGGATCCTTCTGTGAATTGTAGGATCAAAAGAGGATGTGAAGCATGCGTGTTTTTTAGTTGGGTATGCTGTGGATGCAGCTAAAAAGGCTACAGGAAAGATGTACCTTTTTCCAAGAAAGCCAACAAAGGGTGTTTATTCTCTAACAGTTACGGATAAAATCTATGCAAGCAATGGTTCATGTATTTTCTTTCAGGTTCTTGGGATAAAGCATTTTGAATGTGCAAAATTGTCCTTTTATTATTGATACGAAACTGTAGATATTCTTTCATGACTGAAACAAAATCTTACAGATCACCATGGAGTCCTCAAGAATACCATTGTACTAGAACATAACACACCCCCAGGAAAGTGGATCAATAAACATTACGGTGCTAAACTATCTGGTATTGTTGGAAAACATGCTCACCTACCTACATGTAGGGTCTTCATGACAATTCATTCTGCAGGATTTGATACATAATCATGTTATCAAATTGTTCTCATTATCTCCGTACCTTTCAGAAATTGCATGTGAGATATTATGTAAAATCATTATTACCATCTGATTTTTGGAGAGCGCACTTCAAGCAATTTATTGTTAACTTTTTCCCTTAAAAATGGTATCTCGATGTAACTTTTTGTGCAAGTTTAGAAGTATGGTTTTGTGGAGGTAAATGAAAAATAAGGGGGGGACATACATTTATTTTCATTAGCTTGGAGACAAAAAAAAAGCCACACTGTCAACGTGGAAGCCTTTGCGCTCTGCAGAATATGATGCTTAATCACCTTATCAAATTTATGCATCGGCTCTGCACCTTTTGAAGCAAAAAAAGAACATATGAGCTATCCTGGAAATATATATACTAGCATCTGATTCCTAGTGAACACACTTAAAACACTTATGATCAAAAGAAAAAGAAACATCTAGATTGAATTGTTCGTGTCAAGTTAGGAAGTATGGCTTTCTGGAGCTAAATGGGAAAAAAAAGGAATATGATTCTTTGGAATTATATGCATTGTTTTGGTGAAACTATCAATTGCATTTGCCATGCTTGATTTGATGTTTACTAGAATTGTTGATATTCTTATCCTGCTATTTTATAATATTTTTGTAAATTAGTAATGATATAAAATGCTGCACTGTCTGCGTGGAAGCCTCTCGACACTCAGGTGTTCGTCTTTGCTGGCTTATTTGTTTATTAGGCAAACTTCATTTAGCTGTCTCTTTTTCTGTTAAGGAAAAGAGATGGTCTGAGTTCTATTGCTGTTACAATCTTTCCTCAAACTGTAATAGCATCTGATTTATCACTATATCTGTTTATTTTGTTCTTTGGAATACTGTAACAAGTCACTGAAGAGAATAAAGGAACAGAATGCAGTGCCGCCGCCACTCCATCATGTAGGTGCTGTCTAGTGCTGAGAAGTCAATTCAATCATAAAAAGCTCATAGGTTCCTCTTGATTGAGGCATTAAAATATTTTTATAGATTTCCATAAGTGGTGGAGCCAAGTACAAGTTCGTGCATTCTTCTGTTATGGTCAAATGCCATCATGCCAGCTTGGCACAATGCACTGGTGGTAGAGATGGAGCCAAGTTCAGTTTGGTGACAATTTTCTGCTCCTGGGCAATGCCATGATATTTGCTTGACACCTAGCTGGGGTAGTGGTGGAATCTCGTAGCTGTTCCAACCAATGGTGATAAAAAATCACCAATGTTTTTGTCCAATGAATACTAAGAGGCTACCAATAATGGATATTTGGCCAATTTCGTACCATATGCATCTTTTGGTCAGTATTTTGTATGATGCCTGCTGCCTTGTGAGCAAGCTTCCACACGCAGGCAAGGTCACCAATGTTTGTTTCTCCAGTGAGTAACTTCTGACTAGTAACCTGTACAAAAACAACATGAATGGGTAAGAAAATTTGCTTTATTTTAGACAATGGGATAAAACGTATTAAACTTAAGAAGTTTGTTCTTTAAACACAAACAAAGGGTTGCTTATCAGTATTTAACTTTGTTAGTGAGTTTTATCTTCCTCTAGGGAATACCAGTCATTATTTACTTCAACACAGATGGCAATGTTTCTTGGTTGTTGTCATAAGCTGCTTAAGTTTGAGGTGCCTCGCCAAAATGGAGCCATCCACTGAGAGCACTGACGGCAGGACCATTGTGGCAACCAAACAACCTGCATCCATACTGACGGGAGGATCATTGTGGGCCAATGCAGGGAGGCAATTAGATATTCAGACCATGGCAAGAAGACTTTGGAAGGAAGAGGCCATGCCCCCAAAGAATCTCCATGGTTCAATGTGTCTCCTCCTGGTTGCTTACAAGTCAGTATCCAAGCAAACAAGATAATACTCAAAGTTTTGATTGTGGAGGTTGACAGGGGTCTAGTTCCGTGCGGATTTGGTTCGTGGGTTGGGCAGTCAACGCTACAACTTTTGATATATCAAATGTCAAATGTTAACCCCATTTGACGGCAAGCCACAGGTTTAGAAGAGAGCAAGTGTATGTTCATATCTTCAAGCAATCTTTGTGTGTTAAATGCTGACACACATTGCAAATTGCATGGAGTCTTTTATGTTCATATCCAATCCTGCAAATAGAGGTTATATTGTAGTTATGCTCGTAAACATAATTATTCACATACATATATTGAAATTTTTCTCCGCATCTAATTCATCAAATATACCATTTTTATTTTGAGAGAATTTCTAAGTATATGTTAATTATCTTATAGGAGTACTGACTAGGATTCCTAGAACCACCTCGTATAGTGTAGTAATGATTCTGTTCAGCTGGTTTATTTTGGTGGCGTATAATAGAGGTGCACTCAAGGGCGTATGAGTGTGCTGTGTGTACATACGTTGTCTTTTATCAGTAGCCAAAAAGAACTATTTTGTTCAAACTTGAAGAGCATGAGACACCTGTACAAGCATCTCAGTTATAAGACAACCAAGACGATATCTTTTCAGTTTTGCTACAAGTGCCTCTGAATCGGCTAAACTTAAAAATTGTGGGGAAGCTAATGCTCACTTTGAGTGTTTGAAGCATCTTTGTCGATTCCAGATAAGTAAAGGTTAGGATTTGGGGGCTTCAAGGTTAGTGACCCGATGCAGCATGACGCCAGTGGGGTAAAATCACATGACGAGACTGTCAATGGCCCAAGGTGGAAGAAGATGCAGGTCAGCATATGCAACAATGGGGTGCTGAGCGCACTCGAGAAACACTCAGGTGTGCAGTTGACATGCCCTAAAATTCCACCAGTCGTGGTTGACCTCTGTATGCATAATGCAATCTTACATTGGCAAAATAGATCTCTTAAAGCAAGAATACCAGTGTTTTGGGCATTCCCTGAGCGCACTGTCTTTATCAACAATGAGGTCAACAAGTGCCAATCTGTGACCCTAAAACCAATCCACATAAGTGGGTTGATGGATGAATGGGCTCTCTGAGCTGGGATCCCAATCTGTGATCCTATACACGAATCCACAGAAGTGGGCAGATGGATGAATGACCTCTGATCTGGGATCCATTCGCTGATGCCCACAGATTCAGTTCAGTTGGTTACAGTACCAACTTGCAAGTCTGAGGTCATTTTGATCAGGTCACTGCTGTTTCACTATCAATGTCAACAGTTTCTGGAGCCTCTGAGTAACCATTGGCATCTAGGATGTGTCACCACTCACCAGTCAGGCAGGCAATACACTAGTCCCTCTCTACTTTGGAGGCTCAATACTTGCAAGTTCACCAGGTCAATATTTTGGTGAACTTTAGAGATTCTTTTTCAGTACCCACTCGCATTGAAAGCAAATGACACCTTCATCGGCCAGAGCAGAGATCATGAATGCATGGTGCAGATTGCAGCTCTGATCATCACCAGAGAGCAAGAGGTCGCCTCTGATTCTCTGAATAATTCACTGAGCTAAGCAGCTTCTAATGTCTGATCTTCCAGCGATGAGGTAGGCACCAACAACTCGGAGATGACTAGGACTGTATTACAACAGCATTGCAAATCTTATCTCTTATTCGGAGCAGTGATATCTCGCAATTGCAACCACCCTGCTCAAGACACAAAAACAGCAACAACAACAACAACAAAAACAGCAACACAGGAGCAAAACCTGTCAGATAAGCCAATTCGTGCAAAAAGTTAAAAATCTAGGATCCGGTCGAACAACCACTCATTCAGTTCAATGCAATGTATCATCATTATACCATCAGGAGGCAACATCACATCTCCCAGGAGTAGCACCATAAAGTAAGGCAAACCGTGCCAATCATCCTTGCACTAAAACATGCAAAATTCAATGTGCCCATGTCAGTTGTCACACACCATGCTTGCATAACAGAAATTTGAAATTCTGCAGATTAGAGCATAATTCAAATTTATGCTGCATTTTCAAACTGTGAACATAGATCTGGGTCTAAATTGACCACGTCACATTTACATGTCTAAAATCATCAACAGAATAAAGGATTTTCAGAAGAAGAAAAAAACCATCAGGATAATAAAGCAAAAGATGCAGACACAAATAAATAAGTAAAGCAGTGATGGGAAGCCATCTGTTGCAAACAGATCAGCACTCAGCAATGGAATAAAGGACAGACAACAATGCATGCTTTCCATGCCACTCAAAGCTATATTCACATTTGTCTTCTCTCACCTGAAAGCACCAGATCCCGAGAAAATGGCTCGTAAATTAGTATTTGTTCTGCCAATTGTGTTCCTCGGCTGGGCACTGCGGCAACTCTCTAGTGACCACCTCTGAATCTCTGAAACATTGTGGCTCACCAGGTGGCAGGTGGGCATCCTCTGACATCTACCAGGATCAAGCTCAGGGATGGAAAGTTACCTTGCATACAGAGAAGACAGAATACAGAAAGCAAGGCCAGGTACAATATCCACACTCCACAGTACATGCATTTCAAGGCACCAAGGACTTTACCCTGCCTGTTTCCAAGGTAAAGCACAGTCACAGAGCACTGGACACTGAAGTGAAATGTTGGTTTGTCTCCATATTTTTCTTACTGGTTTCTTTGCCAATAAAGGAGCTAATGGAGAAATTGGGAATGTACTTAGTTTCTTTTGATAGATCTGAGTATGGGGAAGGTGACCCGAATCCCAAGAGGGATGTCAAGAGCAAAGAACTGGATATCAAGGAGCTCGCTGACCAGCTGGATCTTGGGCAGAAGTTATATGTCTTGGGGTCTAGATGGGAGGATACTCTATTTGGGGATGCCTCCAGTAAAGCACATAGATAGAACCAAATACATGTTAATGAAATATGCAACTCAGAATTCAGATTTCAGAGTAAAGCTGTATATGCTGCACTAATCGTCCCAACTATCAACTATTGGTGGCTTTCTTTCCCATTTAAAATGTCCAGGCAGGCCTTCAAGAAATTAATTGTGACAGCAGAGGTCCCTCTGACCTCTGGATTGCAAACAACACACCTTCCTTGATCTACCAGTGGATGACCCAGAGGTGGCTCCCCTCTGCTGCAGGAGCCATGCACCACCCTGAAATATTTTGCAGGCATGATATGGAGGTTGTTCTTCAGAAGATGATGGCAATGCCAAGAACTATTGAGGAAAACCACAGCCTCAGATATAAAACATAGAATAAAGGTTGTAGCACACAAAATAGTACTCCCTCTGTTCCAAATTATAAGACGTTTTGACATTTCTAGATACATTGTTTTTATTAGGTATCTAGACATAGTGTATATCTAAGTACATAGCAAAAGCTAAGAAAAGCCAAAACGTCTAATAATTTAGAACGGAGGGAATAATTCACAGAGCTTGTAAATTGAACACACAATACAAGGATTAGCTTCTTATGTGTTCTTGCCGTAGAGACAACAATATATTAACATGAAAGTTACAGGAAGAAAAAAAATGAAATATTTGTATTAAAAGTTGACCAAAAGCAATGTTATAACCTACCCTTTCTAACATATGTCGACATAACATTGATTTGCTATTTCATTTTTTTCAGAATAAATCAAGGTAACAACAAGGCTTTTGTGAATCAAACCCACCATGATTTACTTGTCTTTTGGAAGTTGGGAATTTGTCCAATGAATATTACCAATCTGTTTCATCAAAATGAGAGTTCTGTATCAAGAAGCTTCCATTCCATGGATCAAGTATCATGAAATATTGAAGTCACACAAGGTGGACATATGTTCATGCTGGTAGATAGATGGACCAAGCGAATTCTCAAGGCACTCTTGGGTTGCAGAAGAGACCTCAGCTGTTGACAGTAGATCCATTTCCCAAATGCTGAGAACTTCAGCTGCAAACAACTATTTAGTTTTATTTTTCCCTGAGGTTGTAATCCTACAGCATCAAGACTTCTCTAATTCAAAATATGATAGCTATACTGTCAGATTAAGCTATTTTTCTACAGCATATTAGGTAATTAAGACAGCACGTGTGACGTCAGTACTTGAACTTACTAACTCTGGTCCAAAATTTATGTCATCCTAGAAAGCATGTAGTCAAAAAATTTAAATGTGATAATTACTCCCTCCGGTCCAGTTTATAAGGCATTTCATGTATGTCAGCAGTCAAACTTTATAAACTTTGACCAATAATTTGACCAACATTTTTTAACTATTGTAATACAAACTTTATACTGTTAGATTTGTAAGCAAATATACTATCCAAGAATCATAAGTTTATAATCATACACAATATAATATAATATAAATGAATGGTCAAAGTATAATTTAGGAGACCGTGCTATGTCAGACTATGCCTAATAAACCAGACCTGAGGGAGTACTATATATAAAGGTATTCAATTTTGTGAGATGGAAACATTAATGAGTCATCATCAAAATTACATCAACACCATTATAAATTTACTAGCATTATAGTATATATTCAGAAAATCAATGTCAATGGTGTGCATTGAAGACTGTATTAGTGACCTAAATAATAAGTGAATCCGCCAAGAGGCAAAAAAAAAACAGTGAACAAAGTAAAAAATACAAATGACACGAAGAGGCAATCAAAAGGGTAAATAATTCTAGTACTTTAGGAGCATGACATGATAAGATCATGAAAAGTTTCAGTCCATGAGCACTGCATATCTGACAGGTCAATATATTGTAGCATGCCTATGGCAAAATTGGTGATACAAGAATCATTTATTACAGAAGATTCTTGGAATGTTCTTACCAAGAGAAATCCTATGTATAACTGAAGAAAGCTCCTTCACAGAAGGCCACAGCCATTTAGTATTTGACATAGTTGGATAAGGAATTAACGGCGGTCAGGTTTCCAGTACACATTATCAAAAGAAAATAACAAAAGGGCAGAATATCATGAGAGATCTTCAGAAACCGGAGCGAGTTCCTGCCACCCAGTTTCCAATTAAAAAACATATCTCCATGAGTATAATGCCAAGCAAAGAAATCTGACACGGTTTAAGCCACAAGAGGAAGACTTGCTTGTGCTCAACTATTCTTTTGGAAAGCACCCAACTGCTTAACTAAGAGATCATGATTCCAGAATCTTGTTTTTCATCTTTTGATAAAGTTGCCCCCCAAACTCCATCTATGATCTCCTGAGCAGCAAGAGGAGATACTTTTGTGCGTAACTATCCTTTTGAAAGCACCCAGCAACATAACTCAGAGAACAATGTCTCGAACTCTCTTTTTCTTTCCCTTTTGAAAGGTATTGCCCACAAACACCATATCATCTCCGGACTGAGCTCAAGAGTAAATATGCTTGAAGAAATGAGCAAAGCTAAATAATGGTACACTGATGAAGAGAAATTTGCAATACATGAGAAAGTTCTTACAGGAAATATCTGTGATGCAAGGCCAGCAGGACAATCTTTCAATGAGGCCAATCCATTCACCCCAAAACAATATTCTCCAAGTACTCGATTGCATGGTACATGTGGCCTTTATCAAATCCCTTGAACAATGCATTATGTGTGCAATAATCTGGAGGAATACCATTTTGATGCATCTCAAAATACAATCTTATTGCATCTGCCCAGTTACCTTCTCTACAGCTCCCATCTATCAATAAAGTATACGTGTATTTGTTTGGCGCTAATCCCCTTTCCAGCATCTCGTGAAAATGATGATAAGCCAACAGAGTTCTGCCTGTCCTGCATAGTGCATGTATGAGCACATTATATGTTATTTCATTAGGTTCAATTCCTGCATCCAGCATCTTCCGGAACCAACCATATGCTGAATAAAGGTTTCCTCTTCTACAACACGTGTGAATTAATATGGTGTAGGTCACAACTGAGGGTTGCAAACCATCTGAGACCATGCCATTAAGAAGTTTCCTTGCTTCCCTTAGGAGTCCTCTTTCACAGTGCGCATGAATCAAGCAGGTGTATGTGATACAGTCAGGCTGTAAACCATCACTGACCATCTTCATCTTCAAATCTTTGGCATCTTTCAGGTTACCAGTCTTGCACAGTCCATCGATTATAACATTGTATGTGACCGTATCGGGTATATTCCTTTCAACATCATCACCTCACTCAACTGGAAAGCCTTACGAGTATCCCCTAGGGTTAGCTCGCACAGATCCTTGTGTTATAGGCAAAGCAATCTGGCTGCAAACCTTTGCTCAGCATCTCATCAAAGAACTCTCTTGCCATAGGAAGGTTCCTCACCTTATGTGAACCATTCATGAGAATTGTATATGTACAAACATCAGGAAAACACCCCTGCTCTACCATTTCCTCTTTCAATCTCCTAGCTTCCTCTAAATCACCTAATCTACAATAACCATCTATAAGAGTGTTATATGTCAAAACTGTTGGCGCTAAACCTGCACGCCTCAAATCGCCAAGCAACCAATGAGCCTCCTTCAAGTTACCTGCCTTACAATATCCATTTAGCAAAGAATTGTACGTGATCAGGTCTGGCAGTAAGCCCATTGCTCTCATTTCCGCAAATTTCAGCTGCGCAGCCTCTACCTGCTCACTTTTAAGCAGCCCATGAATGATGGCATTGTATGTCACCACTGTAGGCATAATGCCCTCATTCTCCATCTCCATCTGCAAAGCTTCAACCTTTTGTACAAAACCCCTTTCAAGCAACGCAGTGATAAGTGGGTTATAGGTAAAGGATGAGGCTTTCTTTGACAGCCGCATGCTGTCAACCAGCTTCGCCGCGTCCTCCAGATGACCTTCTCTGGCCAAGAAACTAATCACCACATTGTACGTGACATCATTCAGCAAGCAACCACCCCCCTGGGTTTCCATCTCCTTGAGCAGCATGGAAGCCTCGTCCTTCCTCCCCTCCTTCAGGAAAGAATCCAGCAAAGTGTTGTATGTGACAATGGTCGGCTCAATCCCGAGCTGGAGCATCTCTCCGTATACAGCACGGACGTCGTCCCACCTGGCCGCGTCACGGAGCACGCGCAGCACGCGGTTGCAGTCCCTGACATCTGGGGCCACGCCGTGGCCCGCCACCACGCGAAAGGCGGCGAGGCACAGCGTCGAACAGGCGGCGGGCGTGGCGTCACGAGCCTCGCGTTCCGTCGAGAACTTGGCGGACAGGCGTAGGAGGAGGCTCAATAGGGAGCGCAGGGCGGGAGATAGAGGAGCGGCGAGGAGGAGCGACAGGACAGGGAGGAGGAGGCCGAGGTGCAGGGCGCGGAGCGAGACGGGGTAGGCGGCCCGGATGTGGTTGGCGTGGGCGAGCGGGACGAGGACGGCGGCGAACGCGGAGGCGGAGCGGGGGAAGCCGCGCGGGGTGGCCTCCGCCCACCGGAACAGCTGGCGCGCGAGGCCCGGGAGGCCGCGGAGCGCGGCGTGGACGTCGCCCGTGGCGAGCACCTGGCGGAGAGGCTCAGGCGGCGCGGGATCAGAGGCGAGCAGCGCGGTGAACGGGCTCTCCTCAGGCAGCGGAGTTGGAGGCGGCGGCGGAACCAGCGCCGGCAGGGGCAGGGGCAGTGACGCGGAGGAGAAGCGGGGGCTGGAGATAGCTGCGACGGCGGCGGCGGCGGTTACAGGAGCTTGTGATTTGCAGTGTGGGATGTTGAATAGCATGGATTATGGCTCTGGTACCACCCGGCGACGCCTCGCCATGAATGACGGCGCGGCGGCGGCGGCGGCGAGGAGGAATCCGCGGCGCATCCGCCGGATTCCGGCGGTTGCGGCCCTCGACCTGGGGTGGCGGGGGCCGGCTCTGACGGCGGTGAAGCCTAGGCGGCGGCGGCGGCGGCGGCTGGTAAGGGAGACGGCGCCGCGGGTGCTAGAGGGAGGAAGGGAGGGATCGGACTCGGTGGAAAGAAAGGCCACGTGCGCCAGCACTGTCTGGCACCGGTGCCGCCGCGGCGACGCGCGATCTGCACCGTCTATTTTGCATCCTGATTTGATTTGTGCAAGAATTCTGCCCAGCCCAGCTGAACATCTGGCCCGTGGCCCCTGTCCTCTGCTACTCTGCCTCTCTAAAAAAAACAATTCTCACTTCCGAAAAAATCAAATACATTTAAATTTCATCAACACACTAATATTTATGATACCAAATTATTTATTATTAAATTAATTATAGAATATATTTTCATAGTAAAACCATTATAAAATAAATATGGATATATAAGTTTAGTCTATTTTGAGCTCCTCAACTTTTGCCTTTGTCTAATTTTAACTCTAACTACAAAATCATCATTGTCAACTAACTATCTATATCTAAATGGTTCAATTTTGATCCTTAAGCCGTTTTTTAGTGGTTTTCATATGGCTCTAGGTTCAAAATTGAACCGTTTTGATAGTTGAGCTGCCAAAGTCTTGTAGTTGAGGTCAAAATTAGACAAAGACAAGAATTAAGGGACAAAATATAGACTTAATATGTACTTAACCTTTATATATCATTAATTATAATATTAAATTTATTGCTAATACAAGTTTTTAATAGTAATTAAACTTAACATTTGTGTTATAAATAGGATTAGCCATATAGATAACTTTTAAATAGTTTATATGATGCATGTCATTAGTCATAATAAAAATAATTATCATTTACATCGTTAAATTTTTAGATGGTACTCTGTTCTTCTTCGCAGGGTGTAGTTCATAATTTTCTTAAATACTGAATCTTAGAATATATAAACATATAGATCCATCCCTATAGTCTTTGCGGGACGTAGCTTGCAAGCGATACTAGCATGAACTAGAATCCCGAGGAGACAAGAACCGAGCAAAGTGATATTCCAATAGCGGGTCATGGCTTAAATATCCAAACATATATATTAATAAATATTTAATGATAAAATAAATATTAATAAAGTGTAGATAAATATTTCAATACATATAAATATTTATCAAAAAGTAAATTCAAATAGGTAAATTTTTTTATAAATGTATATAAAAACTAAAGTACTTGATTAACTTCTTTTAGCCCCTCAACTCTTGCCTCTGTCTAACTTTTTCTTTTTATTTTTGCGAATTACACAAGTACAGGGGTTAGGCTCAGGGTCCACCACAAGAAACCTAACCACTCAGTTCGCTTGCCTCTGTCTAACTTTGACACCTCATTTATCAAAACCAATCATGACCCTCGAGCTAGTTTTAAATTGTTTTCATATGACTCTAGGTCAAAATTGAAAGTTTTGGGAGCTGAGACACCAGCGTTAGACGGTTTTGTAGTTAGAAGTCAAATTAAACAAAGAGAAGAGTCAAAGAGCCAAAACTAGACGTAATTCTATTATTTTCTATAAACCTAGTCTAATTTATTCTAAACCTATAATTCCATTCTTTTAAGAACGGAGAGAATATATATATATATATATATATATATATATATATATATATATATATATATATATATATATATATATATACACACACGTCTAAATTTGAGTAACTATGAATCTATGGGGCGGATGTGATGATATGACAATTTTAACCCAAATCAAGGACCTAAGTGTGCGGCATTGCATTGGATGATTGGAACTTGGATAATTGAGGTTTCAAAGCTCAGGCACGACGGATTCAAATTTTGTTTGCACTTTAACCAGTTTTTATAATCTCAAATTGACCAATCAAATTTCCGACGTGCTGCCAACCCTGACCTGACAGATGCACAATGGAAGACCCCGCAACTCATCCTGTCGGAATGCAAGCAGAGGGGTCAAAAGGACGTTTTTTTTTCCTCTTTTGTACTTCTACTAAACTAAATGGGCCGACCTGCCAAATCAGGAACATCCTGCCGGATGGAAGCCCACATCTGGTTGAGAGGGATCGGATGCGCTTTTATTTCGACGGCCCACCAGGTGGGTTAGGATCAGTGTATTGGCGAAGAAAAATTCTACCTTACCTCCCTCAACTTTCGCGAGAGTCCGTTTTTCCTTCTGAACTTTAAAATCAGACAAAATACCTCCTCAACTTTTAAAATCATTCGTTTTAAAGACGGTTTTGTTTTTTTTCTTTTTTATTTATTTCGGCTAAATCTTTAAAAAATCATAGTAAATTATAGAAAAATCATAAAATAGAAAATTCAACTTTGTTGGACTCCACATGAATAGATCTACACAACTAATATATAATAAGGCATGCTTTAGTACAAAGGTTTTGTTGTGGTTTTAGATCTATACTTTTCTGCAATAAATTGGAATAATTCTTAGCTGTGGTTTCTATGGTCTAATTGTGGTGAAATTTTTATGATGTGCTAATTATTGTATGATTGAACTGTAGTAAAAATTTCATACTCATTGGATCATGCATAACGTAGTTATAGATTTATTTATATTTAACAAGCATAAACTTAAATAAAATCTATAACTAAGTTATACATGATTCAATGAGTTTGAGCATACAATAATTAGTCCATCATAAAAAATCATCACAATTGAACCATAAAAACATCAGCTATGAATTATTCCATTTAATTATAGAAAATCATAGATCTAAAGCTATAGCAAAAACTTTATACTAAAGCATACCATATTATATGTTCACTGTGTAGATCTACTCATGCGGAGTCCAACAAAATTGTATTTTCTATTTTATGATTTTTCTGTGATTTAATATGATTTTTCAAAGATTCAGCCAAAATAAATAAAAAAAATAAAATCGTATTTAAAACCGTTTATAACCGGACGGGTCAGGGAGTAAGATGAACGGTTTTCAAGATTGAGAAGGTGTTTTTGGAGCTTAGGGAGGGAAAATGGACTGTTGTGAAAGTTAAGAGGTAATGATGAGAGAGAAAAGATAAAAAAAAATCGTTGGAGCCGCTTGTCTCCGTCCCCGACGATGCCGCTGCCGCCGGGAGGAATGGATGGATCCCTTGGCTTGCCACCACCAGCCCACCACCCCCTGTCCGCTTCGCTTCCTATTCCCCCGCGCTACGGCCGCAGGCGCTCTCCTCACCGGCCGGCACCACCCCGCCTGCCTCTCGCTTTTGCCTGCCGAGGTAATCTACAGAACTGCTCCCCTTGCTATTCCCTCGCGCGCGAACACGACGCGCTTTCGTTTCTGTCATGTGGACTGTGGTTACCTCCTTCACATTTCAGTGTGGATATGTATGTTTTTTTTTCGATCAATATGTTTTATGAATGTCGTTGCTGATATCTCTTGATCGTATTTGTAATAAAGTTTGGATCGGATGGATCTTGGCCCACTGCTTCGATCTAGGTAGGATCTAGTCATTCGATTTGTTAATGGCGTGGTGGAATTTCTCTTAGTTACTCGATTTGTTAATGGGGTGACCGGGTGATTGTGCCTTGAGCGTCAGTGTCACCACCGTGTTTCTGAAGCAGAAAGAAAAAAAAAAGAAAAAGGGAGAAACTAAGACAGTTGGCATTTCACATAACCAAACGGACATGCTTGTTAATTTGACCCCTCCCCATCCGCATGGTTGCTGGGCACAGAGCAGCATTGATCAACAAGTGAATCTGCCTGATTCAATGGTTAAGTCACTGTCCGTGGGCTTTGTTGTTTTCTGCAGTATGGCCCTGAGTTAGATGCTATCAAGCTGTTCAACGATGTTTACTGCTTACCTGTTAGGAACTGATACTCGTTTTCACATGAAAAAAGCTTAGTTCCAAAAATGTGCATTGTATTCCTCACTTCGCTGCGGCATGCTTAGTATATGTTGCTTTCTAGATTGAATATACCTAACTCTCTGCGCTGCACGCCACAAGTGAAGTGTTTTCACTTATTAAAATCAAATTTCACCACTCTGCTAAAAGAACATCTGCTGATGGAAACTTTGCTGCAGATTTAGTCCTGGCAATGCAGAAGAAGTGATCTTATAATCATAAAAGATAACAATGGGGATATCCAAGGTGACCGGCATCGCTGCGACAGCTTTTCTTGTCACATCTGTTGGGCTGTGCCAGCTGGGCATGAGAATTGTTGTGCCTCCTTTCCTAGCCACCAGTATTGTTGCTTTCGTTGTCACGGTTGCATCCCATGATGCCATCAACCTACCATGGATCTTGGGGAAGAACTCAGTGGGAAGATTTCCATTTTGGTCATTTATACTGTTTGGTTCTTTCTTGATGCTTGCTCGGACATATGCAATGGTTAAGAGATACATGAGGAAGGAGTCCGTGTATGACAAGATCGCGGAAGGCCTATATCTGGGAGGATGGCCCTTTCTCTTGAAACATTTGCCCCCTGGAAGCCCATCTGTCATAGATTGCACTTGCGAGCTTCCAAGAAGTTCCTTTGTTCCAGCAGATGAGTATCTTTGTCTTGCAACTTGGGATACGAGAGCTCCAACACCGCACCAAATTGAAAAAGCTGCACGTTGGGCTTGTGAAAAGAGATCTGAGGGGAAGCCGGTTTATGTCCATTGTGCATTTGGTTAGTAATCCACCTTTTGTTATAATTAATTTCAGGATTGTATATTAATGTTCGTATTATGTACATAATTGTATTTCCTATTATTTATGCACCATATTAACTGTTATGCTTGTTCTTTTTGATGGACACATTAGGTCATGGAAGAAGTGCATGTGTCGTGTGTGCAATTCTAGTAGCGCTGGGCATTGCTGAGAACTGGAAAGATGCTGAGAACATCATCCGTGAAAGAAGAAAGATAAAAATGAACGCCCTTCACCGGAAAACCTTGGAAGAGTGGTCCAAACAACGAGTTTCTCAGAAAAAGGATAAGTAGTTGTAAGTGGAACATTTTCCTTAGTGATGACCTTGTTCTTTGGTGTTAAACCTGTTTGAAACATCATAAAATGGCATATCTTTTTAGACCAAGTGTAATTTCTGTGCCATTTTTATTTATTTTTGAAGCAATAATATTGGTGTTTCTACCTTTAAACATATTTGAATCTATATCCAGGTTTTAGACTATTTTTTTGTTCACCTGGCTAATTGAATGTGAATGAGCATTAGCTTAAATGTGTTTCTTCATGTAACCAAATAGGTCGATATATATAGATAAAGATTATGCATACTAACCAAATATAGTCCTAGATAGTGGATAAACATATAGTCATACAAATTACTAGATAGCTCAACTATCCTATTCAACATAGTCAATGACCTAACCAGTAATCATCGGTGGAATTGCTGAATGGATTATTCCATCATAGGAAGAGCTGTTACAAGAATTTAGACTAGACAGAACCAAAAAAACACATAGTACTGGACATCAGATTCCAGTGTTTCTCTTTCCCCTTCCCGCTGCAGCGAACGAAACAATTTCACCTCCCTGGAATTTTCTTGTACACCACACATTTTCAGAAAGTGTTTTCCAAAACAAAAAAGTTTCAGAAACATTCCTTATTCTAAAGCTTCCTTCATTTCCCAGCTCTCTTTTGTCGCTCTCAGATGTCTGCTAGTTGCATCCAAAAAAACCTCTCTTCCCAGTCATTTTTCTCTTGCTCCTATGCTGAAGGTTAGTTCCACAACATTTGTCAATCAGAAGGCTGAAAATTGGCTTTGGGATGGTTGTGCTGCAATGCTTATCTCCTCACAATTGCCTTCATCGTTCACCAGTATCCTGCCAGCAACACAGGCACCAGCAATAATAAATAGATCAGGGAAGCATATTGAAAGTATCTGTTATAGCTATTCAGCTAATTGTTTGACTTTTATAGAATTCAGTTAGTTGGACAAACATCCAGAGAAAGTATCAGAAATTATGTTTATTCCTTGTTTCTTATGCCATGGCATGGCCCCCTTTTTTAAGGGAATAAGGACTTTATTTTTGTTATGGTTGCTTGCTGACTTTTGAGTTCTGATTGCTGGTAGGAAGGCGGTCCATTCCCTGCTGATTTAGTAGGGCTCCTCTTGGTATTAGTTTAACTTGCATGTACAGAAACCCTGGGTCACTCTTGTATTAATATTTAATAAGTACTTGAATTTGTCCAATCATTAGTGAATACTACCTTCAACAACTAGAGGTTGGGAACTTCTTTCTTAAATAAAACAATTAAAGATAGGTGATGACGTAGGAACTGCATCGTGCTTACTCTCGAGGTCGAGAAGCCCAGAGGGAGCTTAAAGGCACGGAAGGCGGTTGTGGTACTCGCCAATTGCCAAGAAACATCGAGCTGCCTGCCGAACTGTCAGAATACGGTGCATCTGATGAAGAGTCTGTTGCCTCAAGTTATCAGCCTGAAAATTAATCACATAATTTTAGCACATGTTGCAGGAAAATTATTCTTGGCATCTCTACTAATCTAACTATTTAAGTAATCACCACTGATCAATAGGCCTTTGGCTACCCTTTGTTATGATTATATACTTATAATATAAAGATGCCTTCCAAAACCATATTGTTACATGGTTAGTTGATGAGCCCTTTCTTTCCAGAATGCAGATACGTAAACATCAATATTGATGGCATGGCGTTAGATAATGTGTTGCAAATTCTGTAGATTAAAATTTTTGAAACAGTTGCTTATTTGGGGCATTAATTGTACTAACGAGATTTACTATGATGCAGGTTTGACCAGATGCAAAAAGTTACCCTGAATAATGTATTATTGCTGCAACATTTTTTATCAAGTATTCCATAGCTCATCTGTATAGTTGAGTGAAATGAGGAACATCATAGCAGCACGTATGTAGGGTACCTATGACACTGACATAGTAACATATTGATTGAGATTCTAGATTTGATGAGAAATCATAACCTGTATCACAAAACCTTCAAGGTTGGCCAGCTTGCTGAGGGCAAGAGCCATTTGACTCATGAAGCTCATGTTGGCGTCGTCAATCAGAGATCCACCAGACATGGTGTCAGCTAGTGACTGATGCAGCTGTTCCAAGCCCTGCGAGAGAGCTTCCTCTGCCTGCTGTGATGACTGTTGAAGGCTGCATATGCCGACCACTTGCTGCTCTGTCAGTGGATCTAGCTGGGGCAGCAGTGTCTGCAACAACATGAAAACTTTTATGTATCGGAATTAGAAAACCTTGCTGTACTAAGAATAGATCTGATTTAGCCTGAGTTCATTGTTCCCCTGGTTGGAAAATTTCTTGTGATCTTAGTATTGAGAAAGTAACATTCTACTCTAGTGTCAGCCTATCTTGTGCACTTTCTGACAGAATGAACCTTGATTCAGATTAACAGTCTAGTTAGGTGAATGCAGACATGCAGGCAGTTTGATACCAGATGTTCTGTTTCAGATTACTGAAACGAATTCATCATACCTTGAGCAGATCAGAGGGCCTGAATCCACCCATCCAGAGGAAGCACCGCTCAGCAGGGGTCGTCCACACCCCGGTGATGAGGTGGAACACGTCGGACTTGGCTGCCATGGCCTTGAGCTGGAACAGCTCGTCATGGTGGGTCAGGGCATCGTCGACGATGGCTCTGAGGTCACCATCTGCCAGGTGCGCGTGCAGAGCTCCGTTCAGCTCGGCCAGGCGCCGGCTGTGGTCGTCCAGCCACCGGGCGTACTCCACGTCGAACATGGAGGCGCCTGAACATGGACGCAACTCGTCAGTCAGAGAAATGGTATACTGTGACCGATGGTACATGCTGAGACAAACTACATAGTATGTACAGCTGAAGAGAACGTTGAGAAATGAAGATCAGACGAGGCACCTGAACTGGTGTTTGCACCTGGAGCTCCTCCAAGAAAGAGGCCCTAAAAGGACAGGACACACAAGTTCAGATTTTCATTGATTCAGAATTTCAGATGTTTAGTTAGAAGTCAGCAGGCAAAAAAACAAAAGGGGTAGAAAGTGAACCTGGGAACGGGCTCGCAGCATGTCCTGTTCCATCTGAGAAAGCTTCAGCTTACAGCTCTCAAGCTGCTGAATGTAAGCCTGTGGCATATTGACAAAATTAACTGTCAGCAACTTGGGAAAGTCAGTGCTGTGCTGAGAAGAACTTCAGTTTGCATCTAGCTGATGCTCAGACGATCACCTTCTTTCGCAGCCGGCTCTTGCGTGCAGCTTCGCGATTCTGAGCCAGCCTTCTGACTACCTGTTGACACCAATAGAGAATATATATAAAAATAAGCTCACTCACTATCTGGGATTCTCAAATACTTCAGGCCTGAGAATATGAATTACTGTAAAAAGGTAACTAAAATAGCCAATAGAGAGACCTTTGGATCATGAGCCTTGCCAGTTCTTGGAGTGGAACTTGTAGCCATATTCTGCATACCAAAGTAGACACGAACATGTGAGATGTGACAACATGTAGATTAGTAAACCTGAGCACAACTATGCAATAAAAGAGAAAATCAATTAACAACGTTGCTGTTCATATATCCTTGCGTGTCCATGGTGTAAAAATAATATATTGTAGGATATCGACATTCATGTTACATCAAACAGAGAAAAAAAACACTGGTGTGCATTTGGTGGAATCCACCCACTCTTACAAAAGACAAAACATAGTTTTGCCTTTTGTTTATGCTGCTGTCACACACTTGCAATGTTTATTTCAGTTAAAGTGTGAATCATTCAGTTAATATACAAAGTTTTCACCCAATATATCTTGGCAGTTGATCAATTGACCAGAAAGTACCAAAAGCACCACTGACCCAAAGTTGCCATTATGTAATAAGAAGGTTCAGTTGGTGCATTTCTATCAGGGCACAATTTTGTAATCTAGTGACAATAATATTGTAAGAATGCTAACTTGTCTTATATTGCAGCACTAATGTCAGTACGCCAGTACATGATCTATCCTGCACTAACCTAACATATCCCCAACATAGTCTTGTAGACTTATCCACACCCTATAGCAAAATACCGCCGATATAGATTGACTAGTTCTTGTTTTAGATGAACTACTATTTCTTGTAGAAGATGTTGTCCATCATCCTAAAATAAAAAGCTCCACTAAAATATTTTTTTTCAGAAAGGCTATATTCTCCATCTAATCTAATACTAGTCCAGTGCAAGAAGGAAGCATGATGGAAGAAGCAAGTAGAAACCGTTCTCATTGCTGTAGGGGCCAAAAGATTCACTTAACATGTTGGGATTGGCGATCTTGGGAGCAGCAAGATCATAAATGCCCTTGAATAATATATGTTACTACATGAGCATCTCAGAAGTTGTGGCCTTCAATTTGTGGGCTAGGCAGCGACATGAAGCCATGATAGGGAACACAAGTCCATGACATCTCAACTTGATAAGGATGAGCAAGACCCAACAGAGGCGGATGAAGAAGCAAAGAAAAAGACCAAACAAGAACAAATGGCACACACCAAAAAAAAAGAAGAAAATAAGAGAACCGACGATGAACATCACAGGGAATGAAATCCCTACATACCTTGTGCTGAAGTTGCTGCTCCTGTGAAGCTTGGTCGAACTGGCTCGCCATGTTTACTGCTGCTCCGAGTTGATCTGAGGAGTGGTTGCTGTTGTTCTTGCTGCTGCTCTCCGAGTCGTCTGTGCTGTCTGCTGTCACATTCGAGCAATCCTGACGTGCAAAAAGAAAAGGGAGCTAGAGCAGTGGCAAACTTGTGTTCTTGCTTGCTTGTACTGGCTGTATATGATGTGAACAGATAAACTCTATACAAGTTGTAGCCGGCCAAGGTCCATACCTTGGGTGTGTGAAGAGACCTCATAGGCCAAGCTGGGAAGATGTCCAGTGTAGGAGGTGGCCTAGCAACTGTAGCCATTGCAGCTGTAGCTGTAGTAGTAGCAGCAGTGGGAAAGGCTGCAAGAAGATATCATAGGGGAGAGGAGATCAAG